TACATGGTGCAGTGGTAAAACATGTCACATGCAGGTAACCGATCTACAATACAACTTATTGGATTTTTTAAACACCTTAAGTTCTACAATTCTCATCTAAATAGGAAAAAAAATTACCTTATGTCAGACAGAGTAATCTGAAAAAAGAAAAGAAAACAAACAATTATTTTCAATTCATAAAGAATTAATTAATTCACAGGAACTTCTAAAAATTTCTCAGAATAATACATGTCATCAAGATATACAGAACAGGTCTGTAAAATGTTCATCTTTGAAAACTTTAGTTTAAGGAAGTTAAAAAAAAATTAAACATGAATGGAATAAAATTAAGGATTATGTACAGTAAAGCTGCCTATCAAAACTAAACTTTAAAAATGTTATTCAACACCAGCCTATCTTTAAATATTTATCAAGCCTATTCTTAAATTATACACCATCACATTTGAAAGCAAGACATCCTAGAAGTCAAACATCATGTTAGAAGAAAACTTTAATGATGATGATAAAACCTTGTCTCCAGCCATTATTAGTCTCAAAGTGGGTTCCTCGTCATCGAATCATGTTAGAAATTAATCTGGATTGGCCAACGTTGACCTCTACCCAGCAGGAATAGTGATTTGTCCTACTGTTATTAACACTGACCACAGAAAAAGTACTCTGTACATTTCTGTAGTCAAAATTATATGATCAAGTTTCAGTTATTCTCTGTTCCAATTAATGCTCTAATCACCTACTTTTTCTTCTAGCATTACAGTAATAAGAATTTTGTCTACCATTAAATCATGTTTTTTCTCCCCAGTTTTCTACATTTTTTTCCAAAACCGAGTTTATCCTCACCACTGTCTAATCCATCTTAAATGCTGCCCTTATAACTGAATTAATAATCCCTTTAAAAGAAATCAACATCAGCCAGAATTGTCCCTTCATCATTATTAATGAAGTAGTTCCTCTGACCCGGATAGAGTAACAAAGGGAATAAGCCATTTATAGTTAGCGATACTGATAACTAAAGAAAATGTTGAGGCTCGGCATTTTTTTTATTATATCTTAGAAGACATGTTCTCCAAAAATAAAAATTTGTTTTACAAAGTGAAGTATGAAATCAGTTTTAAAAAGTTGGGTTACATAGAAAAGATGAGCTATTTTCCCACACAGTCAGAATCACACAAGTGTGAAACATTACAGTTGAAAAAATTAAGACACTAGTACTAGTAGTAGAACTAGAAGCTATAACTTTGAATAAACTTGATCAATTCAGTTCATAGGTCTGTCGACTTACTGGCTTAGATTTATAATTTTGATTCCTCCTAATACTAGTAATAGACGTTATTTCGGTATACTTCAAATCTCTCACGGGTGAACAGTCTTATAACTTGCAAGTTCTAATCAAAGAATTATGCTATTAAAACACGTAGAAGTGAAACGTGTTACTCCTAAGAAATATAAATACGAAATATATCAAAAACGATGTGTAGTTCATGCCCAATAACATCAACAATTACTTAAACACATATTACTATTAACACCACTTAAATTATTATTTATAATAACACAAAGAAAGATCCGATTCATACCGATATTTCTTCCACCACTTCGCTTTCCTTCGTTTCTAAGAGAACAAATACCGCGTGCTTACAGTATTTATATGGGCAGCCCTCTAGCCGGTATTATTTACACTGCAACACCTATAAAGTTAGCGTCAGTAAAATTTGGTAAACTGCGATAATTAGAATTTAAAAACAATATGTGTATTCTATATACCCTCTTTATTTCTATTTAATTTTTTCAAAAACACAATCACTACTCTAGACATAATTAACAAATTGATATTGTTTGTATGAGTCTCAAGAAATAAATTGATATTGTAGTTATATATTAAATATCTATGCTTCTATAGTAATAAAATTAATGTTTTAGTTATCTGAATATTGGTATACTTTGGTGACAGATTTTCTTGTAGGCAGATTTTGTTAAAC